CAGCTTAATCGCTCTGACCAATAAGTTGTGGTGCAATGGAAAGACTAATCTAGATCTAATCCATTATAAACAAGAAATATTGCTGTTATATTTTCATTTTTATGATTTTTATTCATGTGATTAGCAGTGGCAAAAATGTATGTATAAAATACGTATATTTATATTAAAAATTAAGTGATCAGTTATGAAACATATAAATCTTTACATGTTCTATTAAAAAATATCTAAAATAACAAGCGATAATCCCCAAGTTCTATATCGTAACAGTGGCCACATTGCGTGTTTGTCACAGACACGTTTTATGTCAAAAATTTTGAAGTGAAACTACCTTCTAAAAATTATTGTATCATGCCTCCATTCTAATGTCAGCTAGGTTACCAGCTATTGAAGATTTAAATGCATCAAATTTTTTCTCGTACTCTTTCGTAAAACGCTTAAAATGCTTCTCAAAGAGATCATCAAGTTTACTCCCTGAGTCAAGATGCATATCGTACTCACCGTCAGATAAGTCATCAAAGGTTCGGACACTATCCTCACTTTCACATGGGCTACATTTCCAGATCGTTTCTCCTTTCCTAATGCTCTTGGCAACGTTCTTGAATTCAATAGTAGTAAGATTGGTGCATTTAGGGTGAATCCAACTACGACAATTTGCACATTGAATGCTTGAAGAGTTCTCTCGAACAACATCGGAGCAGATACCACAATAATTTAAAAAATTGCAATTATTTATATATTCTAGGCCCGCGATTGTAGTGAAATTTTGGCACAATATACTCTAAACTCTTGATTTTAAGTTCCAAAAAGAAAAAATTGGTCTTTCCAATTTTGACAGTCGCTATCGATTTTTGTCTCATCTTTAAGCCTTGAGTAAATAGCTATTTTCCTTTAAGCTTGTGTGAGTGATAGCATTTATACGTTAAATAATGTACGTACTTGTATAATTATTCATTAATTAACATAAAAATGCTATCACTCACACATGCTTAAATGAAAATTGCTATTTACTCAACGCTTAAAGGTGACAAAAAAATCGATAGCGACTGTCAAAATTGGAAAGACCAATTTTTTCTTTTTTGAACTTAAAATCAAGAGTTTAGAGTATATTGTGCCAAAATTTCACTGCAATCGCGGGCCTAGAATATATAAATAATTGCAATTGTTCAAATTATTGTTATTATAGAAGTAATTGTTTTGCAAATTTTATTCCGAAAATCTTTCTATTGTAAAGGGAAAAGCTTCAGCAACTTTCAAAAAAAAATTCATCAAATTTCATCAAATGGATCGCGAGTTACGAATTTTTTCTCAAAAACTGCAATCTTATCTTACTAATATTAGTTGCGTTCGATAACAAAATTAGCCAACACCAGCCAATAATCAAAATCAAGAGAGTAAGCGAAAATTCTCTCCCAAAGAGAGGAAAAAGCTAAAAAGTAAACGAACAGGAAATTAGCCATTACTTGCAAAAACCGGAAGAAGAAGACACACCAGCTGACTTTGTTTATGTTTTATTTGTAAACAAACTGAAATTCATGTTGCCTCCATAGAGAAAAAAGGAAAGCGAACGTTCAATGTTCGCCAGGAACATTTCTAGAAGTAAACACTAGTTGTCGCTATCATAAAGACACATAGCAGGCAGCCAAAAAGCATATAAATACCAAAACTCGGAAAATGCAATTTTTTTTGTTTACAAAAATTGCAACCATATGTTTTGTGATCATATGTTTTCGTGTTGGATAATTTTTGCTGACTAAAATTTTGCCAGTACAAAATGAACGCTTCTCTTGCATCAAAATGAACGCTTGCTCTCTCAATTTTTGTGTGTTGGATAATATTTTGTCGTTATCGAACGCCATCCAGTAAAAATTTGGAAAAAACTATTACAAATTTTTGACTTGTCGAACGCACCTATTATAAATGTGAATGTTTGTACGTTTGGATGTTTGGGAAATCATCACGCGGAAACGACTGAACGGATTTGCATGAAATTTTGTACGAAGATAGCTTATGAGCCGGATTGGTTAATAGGCTATTTTTTTAAGAGTTGCCACCTGTTGAAAAAGTTTAATTTATTTAATATGCGGGAACGACTGAATGGATTTGTATGAAAATTTGCACACAGATAGCTTATGACCTAGATTGGAAAATAGGCTACTTTTCTTAAGAGTTGCCACCTGTTAAAAAAGTTTCGTTCACTTAATACGCGGAAACGACTGAATGGAATTTTGCGAGCAGATAGCTTATGACCTACAGTGGGAAATAGGCTAATTTTTTTAAGAGTTACCACCTGCTAAAAAGTTTAATTAAATTAATACGCGGAAAAGTCTGAACGGATTTGCATGACATTTCGCATAGAGATAGCTTTTGACCTATGTTGGAAAATAGGCTACTATTTTAAGAGTTATCACGTATTAGGAAAGTTTAATTAAATTAATACGCGTAAATGACTGAACTGATTTGCATGAAAGTTTGCACACAGATAGCTTATGACCTA